ATACGCAGAGTTTTTGTGAGTCGCTGTTAAACAAAAAAGTTAATACAAAATTTCAACTCAACTGTAGGTCCTAAATATTTGTTGTACTTCTTTCAGTTTTTTTTTCTCAAGGAATAACTTTTTTCAATGAGTAATGCGTGTTGTCTGTAGTGCTTCATGCTCATGTGAAATTTAGTAGACGTAAGCGAGGCGCTTCAACGTATTATGCTGAACAAGCGATTCGGAAGCTGGATTGAATTTGATAGTGCGCTAAAGGATTTCCATAAAGTATGAAAGAATACTTCTATGTTTTCTCAGATTACCCATACGCACTATGTTCACGCAGAAAGTAAATTGTTGAAAGATGTGAGATATAAATACTTGTTTGTGATGTTTCAATGCACGCTTGGTCGTCAACGTAAATCAGCGGATGTGACAGTGAATAAAAAACCGTGAGGACTTTAACTAATCTATGACATATAAGGTCTAAGTTTTTAAACTGCCAATCTAGGTTTTGTATAAGATTGGAAGGTCAGAAATACGTCACAGAATCTTACAACATGTCTCACAATCATCCTTGTAGTAGTTCATGGATGGTTTGTAATCCATGGAATAGAAGATCGTTATCCAAAGAAAAAGAAAACTTGAAGCCAATAGTATTGCACACTCAGTCAACAGATGAAGTTATAGAAAGGATTCAGGAGAGAACTGGTAAGCAGGTTACCGCTGCTGATGTCAAAGCTATGAAAGCTAAACTCTTCACTGGTTAAAGGACGAACTCTTACAGGTAAGCTTAATCACTTACGAAATATAAACTATTTAGTTAATCAAATTCTTAAGCATTGTTGTAGATGAAAGTTAGATAATACACACAACTTACGAAATAACACAACAATTTCATTACCGAGACGGAGTGAAGAATATATAAAAATTTGACGGCTTCAAAGAATGTGCAAACAACAAATTATTGATAAATATGGTGAATAATTCGCAAAACAGGTGGAGAGAAAAGTCTACAACTTTTATTAAAGAATTGTCATTAACTAGACAGTACGTTCACAATTAAAAGTTCTTTGTGCCTTTATTTCTGACTTCAATATATATACAACTTGTAAACTTATCTTTCTACTTTAGTAGTCATGACAAATCAATAAACTTTTTCTCAATTTTTCTATTCGTCTTCTTCATACTTTCATGGGGAGGTATACAAATCGTTTTAACGAGTAATTGTGTGTGAGAATTAAGAACTTGCACTGCTGCATTAGTTTCGAAGTGTCGTTAGAACTTAGCGTTATATCATAGTTAATTGTGACGAATCAACGAGTCACTCAGAACAGTGATGCGACTTACACGTAAAACCTTACAAACTAGTCAACCGCCTGACATATTTTTCGTTGTCGGATTACGTCTATTATCGAGTTAGTATTAGTACCGAACTAAACAATTTCATGCATTTAGTTCCCTGATAAGGTGAGTTACGTAATTCTTAAACCATACTTTCACTCACACTTATTCGTTGACTTTCTCCCCTTAAGTTATGTGAACTCTTCAAATTGTATTCAATTATCTTACTGGTTGTTAATTCAATGATTCATTCATTACATCTAGAATTATCACACAATTTATCTTATCTGCTTCTGAACTCCACTCGACTATTACACCACCCATCCTTAATGCTTCCTTAAATCTAACATCAAATAACCTTTGACCTGTTCGAGCATATATATAAATATGTTATTGTTGATAACCTATGTCATTTCAATTCTTTGCTTTCTATTATGTCAATTGTTTCATATAATTTCTTGTCTCAATCTTAAATTATAATACATATTTAGTTGTATACAGCTTGCGAGAAGTATAATATAGTCATATTATTCTGCATCAATATTTGTTTTGGCTTTATTTAGACTATAATTATACATACTTACGGGATTTATAACGTAAAACACTGAGTAACGATGTTATATTTACATTTAAATAATTCATTAGATGAATGAACATGGTAGTATGCAATATAAAACAGTTATCGTAAACATGTAAACCGGTTTTCCACACGATCTCCCATAATCATGAATTCCATAAGCTTCATACTATTCTGAAAAACAACAAATCAGTCTTGAGACAAACAATTAAACTTTGTAGTCAGTATCACATTCAATAAGTTAATCAAATAGCAGGTAACGGAATGTATCTATAAGTCTCTTATTTGCAAACAGTACTATTCATTAGAGATTTCGTATTCCGTTAATAGAAATTCATTGGTTAACTTTAGAACAGACACATCACAAGTTGGTGTTATTTACAAATTGCTGTAGTTACTATCATCACAACATACATGCATCGTCTGAATTATGAAGAAAATGTGACTAATTAATGTGGCACAAAGAAGATATGAGTGCTATAAATTTGTAATTTAACTTCGATTGCTCGTTCACTTTTCGTCGCGTATTTTGCATGAATTACTTTGGACGAGTCAGTCTGTAATGGAGTAGGATTTCAAGAATTAACTCATCAATAGTTGTTATTTGATTCTAGAGTTGTGTCGTATCAAGGACCGAAAGCTTCAAATCCCCATCATATAACTGTGAACGCTTTATAGCCTTATGACATTTGTTTATACCAGGTTTATGGTGTAAATGAAACGGTAATGGCTTCACTGCTCACATTGCCTTAAAACTCTGACTTCAGTATATTTATGACCTCACTAGCAGGTTACAAGTAACCTATAAGTTTCTTATTTCATGTAAACAGCGCGTTTCATTTTCTAACCCTTCTAGTATTTCACCTAGACATTTGGTATTAACAAAAAATTGGTAAGAACAATTTAGATACTACTCGACAATATGCATTATAACTTTGTTCATAATTTGGTCAGTAATTGCAGATTCTGTTTACAGAAACTTATTCGTGAACCCTATAAAAGACACATCATAAATCAGTATTAACTACGACATGGTTTTGTCAACATGCTCAAAAGAAACACGCATCGTTTTACTTGTGAAGACTTTGTGATTACTTGATGTGGCACTTTCAGTGGTGTTATACACTGTTCCTGTATACGTTCAAAAAGCGGATGGAACAGACTATCAACTTCAATTGTTACTCACATAATTCACCTCAGATACGTTACATAATATGTCACTTCAGTACAAAACGATGATACTTATAATGAATATAACTGTTTATGGCTAACTATTAGCAAGTTATATAATATTCATTAACAGATTAACGCTTAATTGCTTCTACCTACATTTTATAAACAACTGCCAACATCCATGTTCATCATCATCATAATCAAGGAGGTGAACCAGATGTTATAGGTTTTAAAGCTTATTTTCCTGAAAACTCAATTTGTGATCTATTTTTTTGACTTGAAAAATGGTGAATTTTACTTGATGAATTTGTATTGTTACAAATAACCATATTAGACTTATCAAAGATTCACTTAAATAGTGAGCAACAAATACGTCAAACTGCTAATAAATTGGAATAAAAACTATGTAACAAGCATAAACATTACGAAAGCTGATGTGTAATGGAAAAAAGGCTGTTAACAGCTGATAAATAGCGACACAAAAATCCACGACAATATATAACATGTGCGCGAAAACCCCTGGCTTACCCCAGTGTTCATGCCGTGCCCCAGGGTACTATTTTGGGGCCAGTGCTATTCCTCTTGTATGTAAATGATCTTCCTCGTCTCCTATCATCATCGGTTATGCCATATGCTGACGATTTCAAGATATGGAGAACTATACGATGTAAGAATGATAGCTTAGAACTTCAAAATGCCACGAATAAATTATCTGAATGGTCTCAAACTTGTCAGTTGCCGATAAATACTTCCAAATGTGTTGTTATGCATATTGGTCATCAAGGTAGATAAATACACGATGAATAACACTGAGCTACCTGTTGTCCAGACACATAATAACTTGGGAGCCATCGTTAGCCAAGACTTAAAGACTACTGCACAATGCTGTGCAATAGCCGCCAAAGGTTTTAGAACCTTATGGTCAATACGTAGAGCTTTTAGTCATGTCGACACTGAAACGTTTTTGACTTTGTATGCAGTGTTCGTATGTCATAAACTTCAGTACTGCATACAAGCGGCTGTCCCCTGCTTAAAAAAGAACAGTAAGCTTTTGGAAAAGGTTTAGAGAACAGCAACTAAGCTGATTCCCGTAACAGCGAACTTTCCGTATGGTGCTCGACTGGCCAAGTTAAACTTATTCCCGTTATCGTATCGTGGAACTAAAGACGACTTGATTACACTTTTCAAATTACTTAGTGATAAATTTGCACCTGATATGCCCTCATTTTTCTTGTCTTCCAAAACAGAAAATTAACGAGGGCACTCCAAAAAAGTCCACAAGCCCAGAACAAATTACCTGTCAGCTGACTATCGACTTTCCCATCGAATCCTCAACGAGTAGAATTCATAACCTCAGTACGTGGTTGAGGCTACTCCGTCGACTCTTTCAAAAGAAAGTTGGATCAACTGAGAGGACCACCATTGCCAGGGCTAACACAGGCCATCAAGCCTCCTGTCCTTTCCAAACTGAAACTGAAACTGAAAACTGATGTTGTGCCTGCGGTATGAAATATGGAACCAATAATGATCAAGTGGCGGCCTAAATTATACGGTAGTAAGAAAAACAAATCCCAAAATGCGTCAAATGAGTGTGTTTTATTAATGAATACCAATGACATCTACCTGAAATTTGAGAGACAGCTCGTATACAAAGTAACTTTGAGAGGGGAGTGATATAGTCATCGGTTTTACTATCATTTATTTTGTTTCTAGAGCGTCAGCCTAAGGAATTGTAAGAAAAGAATGGAAATGTGGGAGATTTTTAGTTAATAAACAACTAGGCAGGCATAGATTTTTGTGATATTTACACATAACAGGTTAAAATTAAAATTGAATAAAAGGTATTTTGTTTTACCACGCCATATTAACAAGCGCTATAGAGATTACGCTGGTAATTTTACAAAATACGGCTAATCACCGAAAATAAATGGTTACGAGAGATGTAAATGTTAGACTGAATATAGAGGATAGGATAAAAGAAAGATTGTGCTTTAAGAAGCCTACTGTCGCTCAAGCGAAAAGGCTTTCTGTTCCGGCACATCCTTTCATTGAACCCTTGGTAATGTTAACTATTTATTTATTTATTTATAAATACTTCAGTCACAGTTACAGGAATTTCAGGAATTTAATAAACCTGAATCAATACAAAAGAGAGCACGTGATTCACTTTCGGGAACTGACCCCTATGTTTCCCACAAGGATGAGAAATTCCGTAGGGTCATGCCTTTCGACAGAGAACGACCATTAATACGTAGTGAGCCTCAAAGTTCAAAAAGTTCATTTTTGCCAGAAGTAAGAACTTTTTGTTACAAAGTCCTGTTAGGAAAAGTTTCCGAGTTCAGAACTAGTCGAAGGAGATGAAAATCCTAAACCTAGTAGCCTACTTAGATCGCATCCATATAGAGCACATCCAGGTAACTTTTGAATAAAGATATAATGTACTCTATTTCATGCCTTTTTTAAAATAGGTACCTGTTCCGTTTCAGAAACATTAGATGGTGAGTCTTCAAGATGTCTTCATGAGTGGTTTATAAATATTTTGTCGTTACATTGTGACTGTTCAAATTTTCTTCTATTTCAAAGTTCATGAAGTCTTATGTCAGTTAAAAGCCTTTGAATTAGTGTGCTGACTAATAATTCTTCAAATAGTACAACTTGAGACAGTTGGCGATAGATGAACACTGCTGAACGCATTATTTTGTAATTTGTCTTTTCCTTAGGTTCAGGATGTCTGTCCACTGTGTATTGGGTATAGACTCACTATAATCCAGAATGTACTCATTAGTTTTAGAATAAGCAATGGTAACTCAAGTGGACTCACCTGAACCCTTGTAACGTATTCGGTTGTTGTGGCGGGTTTGAATATGAACCATAGATTTAACAATCATTTTAAGTAGACCCTTTTTAGGTTATGGAAAATCAGTTCCTCGATAGTTTGTAACATCGGCGGACTGTAAGCGTTTTTTATTTGGACGAAGATTTCTTCGTATGGCAATTTCATTTTTGTTTCTTGTGAGTACGGTGTGGTAATTTTACACTGAAAGACCTTATCTAATCTGCTCTTCGAGTCTGTAAAGTTTTCACCCAGATTAGTAGGATTTGAATCAAAGTTTAGTTTTACCTAAGGCAAAGTGAATATTGGTTTCACAAACCGACCGAATGTGTCCCATTTTGCAACGGCGAAGGCATTTAGGATGACAAAGTACACATGAATTACGTAAGTGAAATTTACCACAGTGCAAACAGTTACCATGTTAGTGCTCACTTCTGTATCCTGCCTTGCAAATCCTTACTGAGCTGTTACCTATAAATTCACGTGAATGAAAATTGTTGTCAGTTAAACGCCTATCCGTATGAATTTGAGTACAAATCGGATAAGGGTAATTAAGCAATATTGTAAAATTCTTGATGTCCTGGAAGTCAATTTCATATATTGTGTCATAATTAACACACGCAGTTCTAGCATCTTGAAAGGAACACCTAGGAATATGCGTAAGCTCTCTTTCTCGCAAACTTGGTGTGTTGATTCCTGAATTTAACTGATCACTCAGCTTTACGTGAATTCGATCACTAAAATTACAGTTGGTAACTTGTTTTTGAAATTCGAGGATAGAATCTCTAACCTTCTTGTTGTTTCGGCAAACCATCGTGTAAAATGTCGCTCTTCATAGCACTCAGAATTTACTTACTTCACACGATTCAGTAGTAGTTCTTTCAGTGTTGCGTAGTGAAGTGAAGTAGGTTTGTTTAGAAATGCTAAATATTTTGGTAGATGGTAGGCATCCTTTTCTATGCATGTAAGTAAATGACATTTAATTTTATTATCCTTAACATCCTCGTCATACTCCATATTTTGAACCTTTCCATGTGATACTCGAAAGTTTTAGGATTTAAATTATTACTCAACTGTCTAATTACAGGCTCCAACGCAACGCCAATATGATAATTAGGGGTATTCGGATTCATGCGCTAACTAAGAATTTCCAGAATAGTTAAATTTAAAGTAAGTGGGAATAAATGATCACAAATGAACGTATTACAATTGTGATTCGTAATGAGTGCTCAGTCAAGTATAAGGGTATCATCAGCTAGTATAAATATCACAACTTTTTGATTAAGACACTACCTACAATTCACCGCAAATTATAAGCACATAATTATAGGCATATTATACAGTATGTATTTTCCAGATTTATATAGTATATCCTTGCTGATCATTACGGAAAATATGGGGATTTATATCGTCTTCATATATTTTTACTACCTTCACTCGCAAACACAGATTTTTCCGTGGCAACAAATTGACATAAACCGCTTGCGTACGCTTGTAATGCAATATTTATTGCATTAATAGTTTTTTCAAGCTACTAATTGCTGAAGCGCAACAAGATTTATGCACGAAGTACGCTACAACAGCTAAGAAACAACCTATTGACGACACCCAGCATCTAAAGCACCTCTAAGGATTTTCTGAAATATCTGTTTACGTTCATTTTCAAGACAAGCCTCTGGAGGTATATTCTGAAGTTAAAGGTATAAAATAGAAAACTGGATCCTAGGCTTATCGAAACGAATTATCAAGACTTTTAATTTCCTGCCGGCCAAAGTGGTTGAAGTGACTACCCAGGAGTTCTCTGAGGAGAAAGCTTGACATATTTGTAAAGGCTTAGAACAGTATTTTACGTACCTTTTTGTTTGTTTCATGTACAGGGAAATATATACGAGAGAACTTCTTCGATTCCATCCACAACCATTTGAGCTATTCGAACAATTTGAAACACTGAACTATTAAAATTAGAAGTACTAGTTGGAAATTTAACGTACAAAATAGTGATTTCTAAGTTTGTACAAAACATACCTGATTATTCACTAATGAGCCAGAACACAAAGACAGTAAGATGATTATGTTAACTCATAAATCTATTGGGGCTAAAAGTGAGCATGCAATAAAGTAAAAATCAACCAGCAATTTATACAAACACCACTAAAACCATTCATTCTTATTTGCAGAGTCATATGCGGAATACATCAGTCCTTGTCAGAATAAATTAGAATCTGGTCTCATGTTAATTGCAAACATTTTCAGGGATTTTGTCTAAGTACATCAGAAAACCGAATAGTTGATATACCTACCCAACTTTTATCTTAAGTAATCGATGAAATATTAGACGTTTTAGTACTATGTTACTTGTAATACCATAACTAAATGTTGCTTATTGATCTAAATCATCTGTAGTGCAAAGATAAATCTTATTGATACTTTTTTCATATGACCTTGTTAATTAGCACATTCAGTGTTCTGAATGCCTGTTTTATGTTTGTCTGAGGAGTAGTTAGGCTTGACCACCCTCTGAAAGTTTGACTGAATTCATACAGGATATGGATGAAAATGTAACATGATTAATGAAATTAAGCTATCCTTGATAAAGACAAAGATTTCTATTATGGATTGGCGATTCAACTGATTGATCAATTCAATTGTTGAACTATAGTACTACAAAGGGTTTGTTTGCGACCCACAATGTTTTCTTCCCTTTATTCACTAAAGCCAAAGAATTTAAATTTTAAAGTGGTACAATAGTTAAATACCCAAAACCTAATTAGTTAATGAAGCACTGAGCTAATTGACTTAAAACTGAGTTGTGATACTCTTTACGAATTTCAGAAATCGCGTTCCATCTTTAAATTATACATGCTGTAGATTATTTCGATCCTATCAAGCTCTAAAATACACTTGAGGGTACATAATACATGTCATTCTCTATAAAGCCACTTCAAAATATTGTGTAATGAGGATTGATGATTAAAATTCACTGATATAACTAATCGTTGCGAAACTTAGTCATTTTTTAAAATGTAGCTTTCAGTTCATTAAATTTCAACTAATTCATGAAATTGTACCAACGTTCACTATTGTCTTCAGTGCGTTACTGTTTTACAAACAGACCGCGAGCGGGATCATAGATACGCACTGTTGAGGATTCTCATACTAGGACGATACGGCAGTCCAGTACTTCCAAGTTTTCCATGATGGTCAAGTCTCGATTAATCATTTCAATTTATATTCTCAATTATCTTTATCTATGCTATATAGATGGACATTTGATTGACTGACATCATTTATATTTAACTAAGATAGTACAGTCTACCTACTACTATTGAGTACGTTGAATAGTATTATAGTAAACAACAACACGAGTAGCGATAACTAATTATGTATAATATGAAATCACATAATCTTTTAGTAAAATCTGTGAACCATACAATAACTACTTCATTTCAGTCAGTCAGTTTGCTACAACGTAGGACTAGACACATATATACATCAGTCCAAGTTGCCATACCGCATTAGCACAACAAGATGAACACCGAATTAATAAAAGTAGTTAATTCAGAGGTGGTAATATATAAGAGAAAGATTGCATATAAGGATATAGTACAGGAAGAAAGAATTAATTCGTAGAATGAAAGATATGAAGCGATTTTAATCTCTTAGTTTAAGGGAAGAAAAAGAGTGTATACACCGATGCCATTGTGATTGATTCTGAGCCATGTCACCAAGAGTCTCCAACCATTGGTTACGATAGTCACGCAGACCCCAACCAAGTAGTTTGTATCTACCAACATGGCTCAGACTACTTCATTTTCAAAATACCCATTACTTGTCTCAGATTTGATTGTTCCTTCTTTTTCACATCAATTAGCCTTTGTTCTCATTCTCTTCTGTTTGTTCTTGTTAACCTTCTGTTATCAGGTATTTATGCATAATCAGTAATATATATGAACAATTATGATTGATTTCTTTTCATAGAAATTGCAAGTTATGAAGGTGAAACGGATATCCTGAAAATAATTCATATTCTTCGTGAAAATAAACGTATCAAATTCTTTTATTTAACCAATTGTTTACCGAAACGATCAACAAAATATAACTTTTACAACCTTAAGTAAGTATTATGTATATGTTAACTAAATTTTCTGCCTAAAACTTGTGACCTGTATGCCCTGTTCATGTATATCGTGATGATACCGTCGATTAAAGAACAGTGAATTATCGATCGGACCAATGACTCGTAAAACCCTTGCGAGCAGTCTAGAGTATTTGTCGGTCCTGTATCCTACCCAGCCCAGCCAGTTGAGTTCACAACACCAATCTCAGCCTCTGCAATACGAATCATTCATTTCAAACATACTGGGTTTATATACCAACCAGACAGACCGCATCATACCATAAAATAAGAAACAACATCTGTACAAGATCTAACCAAATATGGCTGTGAATGTGGGAGGTAGTAATTCATAGACAAGGCATGACTCGAGAATGGTAAATAATAGTTCATAGGTCAAAATAAAGCTCATAATAAGAGGGACATTAATATGATGAGTTTAGTTATTCAACAATTATACAAGAAAAATATATGCATAGTATTGGTCCATACATGGATCCCAAAAGTTACCATTCATTTTGCTTATCACGACATAGCATTTTCCTATCATTATTGTTGTATTCTGTCATAGAAATAATATAATAATGTAAACAATCATGAATGAATATTTAATACTAGGATGAAACCGACGTTCAATGTTTTCAAGTGTTCAATGGTAGTCTAACATTGATTCATTCATGATACCAATTTAAGCTCAATAATCTACACAACCTTATATTTTGATTTGTAAACTTAGACATTGAAAAAAGTGCAATGTAGTACAAATATAAATATTCACTCGATTCGATTCCATTGCATTTATGCCCTTTACCCCCAATAGAGCATAGGCCGTTGACCAGCATTCTCCAGCCCACTCTGTCCTGGACCTTACTTTCTTTTTCTATCCAATTGTTGTTCGTTCTTCCCATGTCTGTCTACGTTTCTCGATGTAATATGTTCATTGATCATCCTCCTTTCCTTTGGCCCTGAGAATTCCAAGTGATGAGGTTTCGCCTAGTGATGCACGGAGTTCGCTGCTTTCCTCAATATGTGACCTGTTCACTCACAGCGATTCTTACTGATTTCTTCTTCCACTCGTTTGTTCCCTCCCACAGTACGCTGTACTGATAGTACCTGGCCAACGGATTCGAAGAATTTTGCTTAAACAACTGCTAATAAACACTTGTATCTTCTTGTTGATGATTTTCGTAGTTCTCCAGGTTTCCACTCCATACGATAGAACTGTGTTGACATTTGTTTTGAAAATGCTGACTTTGGTGTGGGTTGAGAGACAGTTGTCTTGAGTTTCAGATGTTTTTCAATTGTAAATATGCCGTTCTTGCTTTGCCGATCCACACCTTCACATCTGCACCAAATCCACTATGTTATATCATTGATGCTGCCCAGGTATACATAGGTGTTTACATCTTCCAATGCTTTTCCGTCAAGTGTGGTTTGATTGGTGTATGCTCTGTTACATCGAAGAATCTTGCTTTCCTTTCGTGAATTTTGAGACCTACTGCTGCTGAAGCTGTTGCTACACCGATCGTCTTCTCCTGCATTTGTTGTTGAGTGTGCGATAGAAGGGCCAGATCGTCAGCGAAGTCTACATCATCCAGCTACATCTTATCTGTCCACTGTGTCCCGTGCTTCCCACAGATGTTGAGGTCTTCATGATCCAATCGATCACAAGGAGAAAGAGAAAGTGTGAGTGTAAGCAACCTTGCCTGATACCGATCTTTACTTCCAATGAGTGTGTGAGCTGTCCTCTATGAACGATTTTGCAGTTTAATCCATTCTAAGAATTCCGTGCAATGTTGATTATCTTCTCGGGCGCGTAGTAGTGTCGAAGTATCCTCCATAAAGTTGTCCTGTCCACATTATCAAATTCTTTCTCGTAGTCAATGAAGTTGATGTAGAGTGATGAATTTCATTCACTTGATTGTTTCACAATAATCTGTATTCACTGGATTCCCAATATTAAAATAATACCATTGTCTGTTTTTCAAACACTGATTTTATGAAACTAAGAGCTGTTCTCACAATGGATTTTAAAGCCATTGTTTTGTGGGTTTAACTTAATGTTATATTATTCTATAAGTTGGAGTTCAATACTCTACTCTAATTCCATTACTTTCTCAACACGACTGTAGAATAAACCATACACTGGATATTATTCAACTCCTTCTAATCTTCCTATAATCAGAAATTGAATATATTGCGGTTATCTGTAATGGGAACTATCTTCAGATGGACTAATTTTTTTTAAGGTTTTTAAAACTATTCATCTCATTGAGCTATTGCATTTGTTAAAGTTTTAGTAATGTCGTCCTATGAGGCTTCACTTTAAATCAACAGTCCAAAAGATAAAATTCTAAATATAATAACCTTATCAATCCTATTTAATGGTCCGCTTCACATCCGTTATTTTTGTTTCGTCATAGACTGTCTAAAAAATCCCACTTATTGTGTAATTGTCATGTCCGACTTGAGGTTTTTGCTACTAGTACTAGTATCAATAGTAAGCTTATGTATGAGGCTGTAAATCCACAACGTATCAGATGGCTGTGGCACTTAAGAGTAATACTGTCTGACTAAACCAAGATATATCATCATTTTGTGAAGCGATTAACTTGCTCTCATAAAGATCGGATGGTAAAAACTCTGAAGTCAAGATTTAAGAGACAATCATAATCGATGGTTAGAAGCGCTACTTTTCATGGTTGAGTTTTACTTATAGTTTACTTTCTCCTAAATCTTCTTTCTATTATCCTTCCATACTTTCCATCCTCTGGATATGTTCTCCCTCTTTTGGACTAAATGTTTCTTGTTTAACTTTCTGTTGTAATTAACATCCCTCTTTCAGTTCAACAGTTTCTTATCCTGTTAATTTCTAATCCTGCTTTTCCAATCTAAGAAAATAGTATATTGGATAAATAAATATCTCTAAGTATCAAATGATAAGATAATCTGGTATTACAACACAATGATGCAACTTCTTAAAGAACCTAAGATATAAATATTTGAAAAAAACTCAAACTACTGAAATATAGTAAGTAGCAAAATTATATATAAAGAAAAGTTTCAGGTCAAGTAAATTATGTTTTAATATACAATATTCTTAATAAAAGTCAATGAACATTGATATGATTACCAACAGTTAACATATATATTCTTTTCATTTTTCTTCTCCATTTCCCATTATTATCATGATTAATGAAACAGGGTTGTCAGCTTTCAAAATATCAATCGTGATGATTATTATACTTTAAGCCTTAATGGTTGTACACATTTAATAACAAATGATGATATAGAGCATATTACATTGGAACGTTTTGAAACAGAATATAAAACATTTAAAGAAATATGTCAAGTAAGTAGTGAACTGTTTTGTGTTCTTTTCTTTAAATTCACAATTTATTAAATAGCTTATTAGTAATTAAGTTGATGGGTATTGTATTTATTTGTCACTGTGAGCATCAACATTGGAACAAAGAAATATCTTTGTTGACAAGTCCTCAATGAAATGAAACTTGTTTTGCAAACTGAAATAATAGCCAACACTCAGTATGTTTTGGTATCAGTGTGATACATAAAAGAATACACTTTTGGTGTAAATAATCAAATCAAAGTATTTAATGTATAGAGTGAAATCAGAGATAGAAGAACACTCCAAATTCAACCATCTATGAGCTTTATGATGTAAGACAACCAATCATTGATTTAATTTATTGAGTTGATCTTAATTATGAAGTCTATATCCCCATAGATAGTTTAAACTGTTATTCATATAGTTTTTTAAATTTGTATTCACCTCTAGCCGGCTTCAAACGATTTGCATACTAGTTTATAAAGGACGTCGAGGAAACAGCTTATTTTTGTGTTACGCTTGATTAAATGAAGTTAGTTCATACACCTTCTCCACTGCGTGTCATTCTGTTTGACTTCCTTTCTCTCTTATTCACTTCCCTTGCTCTGTCTCCCAGACTGTTTGTGCAGATCAATGAGTGTACAAAAGGTACTTATTCAAACATCCATTTTCGTATTTGACTTATTTAATTCCGTTATACACTAACGCGAATTAAGTCAATGTTTATATACGTTTGATTAAGTCGATATGTATACATCATTCATGCGATATAACTGGAAGCAGATTTAGGACCAATACATATCTCGGTGAGACTGTAATTTATGAACGACTTTTGAACGACTCTAATATGATATTGAGAGTGTTCAACTACTTACTAGAACCAAATGATGATTATAAACCAATATGACGAATTATGATTATGATTTACAGTTGGTTGTTAAGATTAAAAAAATTAGATTTAAGGGTTTCCTTCACGAACTGACATTAGCTATCATGCCAAAACTTTATTCAGTCAAATAAATGATTGAATTTCATGCCAAAAAATCCAAAACCTTATTAGTTCGTGTGTAAATTTAAGTCTCGTCAATATCTCAATAGGATTCAATTTTGGGACAATTATATTTCAATATGATTTTTTTTGTAATCACTAACTAAAACAAATAATTATCAAGAGAACAAATATTTATATAAACTGAAAAAAAAACATTTACTCTTCTTATCATTTCAATATTGAAAGCATATCTAAAAAGAAAAACATGACAACCCACCACCATCACCCTCACCCCCGTTCAATTAATTCTTTTTTTGATTATTGAAAGTATATCTAAAAAAGGTGGAGCTTTCATCGTTCTTCTGAACGACATCGTCAGCAGCACAAACTTCAGATAGAATTGAAGTGTTCGAATTTCTCCATATGTGTTTCACAGCTTGTTCTGTACACCACGATGTTGATTGGTTCTTATTGACCTTAAATGTATTATTGTTTACTTCTTTGTTTTGGTTGAGTCTCCCATTGGTTTGATTTTTACTAGTATAGAAGTTGTGAAGATTATTAAGTTTTTGATTGAGATCATGAACCAATTGATGTTAGACCATCACAATTGAAAACCTGGAAGCACTGAACGGCCGTTTTGTCCTATTGTGGGACTCCTCAGCATTGCGCATCCACGATCCCACGAGCGGGATTCGAACCCAGGGCCTTCGGTCTCGCGCGCGAACGCTTAACCAACTGAACCACTGAGCCGGCATCCATTGGTGATAGTGTCTAACATCAACCAATCCACGAAATTGCGCGACCAACTTCCATTGTACTGAGGTAGATAACTGTCTCTACCCGACAAGGATTAGCTCACTGGTCATGGCTTCTCACTAGAACTCCGAGAATTCCCTCACGAAGCTAGTCACTAGTGAGCACATGTTTGATTTTGTTCCTATATTTGTGTATATATTGAAGTATACCTAAAAAAGTGAT